ATTAATCTAAGCATTTCTTTTACTTGAAGCATTTCTATATTCTCATTTTCTGGAATGAAATATTTTATTTATTCAATTTAATTAAGTGTAAGATCTTGAATTAAATCATTCTTTTGTTTCCTTTAAAAAAAGTTTTTACTTAATTCAACGCTCATATAATCCTGATTCAAGAAAATACGAAGGTTAATATAAGTAAATATTTGTTTCAAGTTGATTAAAAATTATATTCAATTAATCCCATATTTATTTGAAGAAAGAAATTCATTTTCTTGTGTCAAGTAATTATTAGCATTGAACAGAATTCTTGAATTAACAATTTAGTATTTGTCAGTACTCAATATGTAATTATTTCAACCAAATATTTTACTTTTCCGAAGTACCAAAAAGTATTGAATCTAGAATATCATGTTCTTAAGCGAAATAATAAAGTATTGTGTGGAGAATTCATGTTTCTTGAATCGAATCATTTTATTTATTTGCTTTGAAACTTTTTTTTACTTAACACAATGCCAGTGTTCTTGATCCAAGAAAATATTTTTCTTCAAATGTATATGCAACTTAAATATCAGTTTTTGAAAACTATCCATTGATGCTAGGATGGCATAGTGGTAGCGTGACGGCTTCTGGTGCGTGCAACCCGAGTTCAATTCCTCCGACCGTGGAAAATTTTCTTTCAAGGTATATTTGTTGTATTTGTGTTAAGTAATAATTAAATGTAAATATATATGTAAAATAACAATTATTTAATTATTTAAATAAAAAATATAAATGTTAATTAATTAAATAATAAAAATGTTTGACCTAAGTATTAGAAAAGATGGGATGGGGGTAAGGGGGGGGGGGGTAATTTAAGTAAATAATTTACTTGTATTGAGAAAGTATTTTTTTGATTGAAATCTATAAACTTTCTCAAATCAAGAAAATATTTTCTTGGACAGAGAACATACTTTCTTGATTTGATACATAAATGATTTTGAATTAATATATTCTGCATTTCTTACATGCTACTTAATTTCTTGATCGAATTCCATATTTTCTTGGATCAAGAATATCTGCGTTCTCTCACAAAATAAATGTTTTCTTCATTTAAATCTTGAATTACTTGAACGAATGTTACAAGAAATTGAATGAATCAAATAAAATAATTCAATTATCTATATATATTCTTAGAACAAGAAAATATTTTATTCATTTAATACATTTCATACTTCGTATAAGAAGACTAACTTCTTGGTCGAATTCCATATTTTCTTGGATCAAGAATATATGTTCTTCTCCCAAATATCCTATGTCAAGAAAATCGTTTTCTTGAATCAATACTTTAATAGTCTTGGCCGTATTCAATCCCACGATTTGCTTCAACCAAGAAAAATTTTCTTGGTTCAATACTTTTTTTTCAGTGTAGAAATTGAAATAGTCAATAAAAAGTTTTAATATTATAAGTTAGAAAGTATGCAATAGTAAAAAGTATTACAGATGATTATACTAAATACTATCGAAGAATTACATAAGTTGTTAATTTAGTAATGAATAGTATTATCGACTAATAATAAAAATTATGACCAGCCTAGTAGCAGGCTATGGGCTGACGTCAGGCTGACGTAGAGCGGTTACGAAGCTGTCCGAGATTAGCCGAATATTTCAGTCAAGCAGTTCCGAAATTATCCGAGTCAAACCTCGTGGCAACATGTGCACGTTGTGTTTACCCCAAAATATTTTAATTTGATGTGTCAAAATGTGTCGGAATTGGGTGAACAATTTTATTTTGTTCATTCAATAATTTTAATCGACAATGAAGATTTTCTAATTGTAGTGAAAGGCATAGTCCATTGTCTTTTAAATGAGCATTTGAGAGCATTCAAAATTTACACGGAAAAAAATTAATCTCTAAATTAGAGATTTGATATATGAGATTTAGGCATAAACTATCACTGGAATCGGATGTGTGATTTGAACAGATCTCTAAAACTGAAATTTAGAGTTATATATCTAATCCGCATTTTAATGCCTGAAAATGATATTATAAATCTCAAATTTTATGACATAGAACATATAGTTCTAAAATATCAACTTATTTCAATAAATTGAAATCTAATATATTAATTTATCACAATTTAGAGTGAGAATTATTTAAAGAATGTATATTTTTCTTTTAGTATGAACTTATAAACAAATCCATTGACAATCATAAAAAATTAGACATTTTTTGAACATAATATGAATTTTTTATTATTCCATTTCTTTATTTGAATCAAATTATCTCAACATCACACAATATAAACATTCTTTTTCTATTTCTTAATAAAAAAACATGTTATAGTACATCTTTCAATATAGGTTAGGTTTTCAAGTGTCAAACGAAAGTTTAACCTGAAAATATCACAGCTCTCCTCAAAGGTGGGCAGGTTATTCTAAAATGTAACGCTACAAACTTGGCGGGGAGTTGTTCCAAATGACTTCCAGATTCCAAATTTTCAAACCGATAAATCGTACCTGATCCTCTTTTCGAATTATCTCTTTTACAGATAGTCAGAAACTTGAAAATGTATTATCCTAATGTGGAAGCTTTGATTCAGAAGACTGCTGATTTTTCGTTATTAAAAAATTTTTAGACAAAGATTTTATAGATAATTATGTTCATGATTTTGAGAAAAGTGAGTGTAGGGCAAGACGGTCCTTAAAAAATCATAAAATTAATAATATGGAAAAAATTGCAAATCTCCCCATCTTTCCCCACCGGCACGGTACTAAAAAAGCAACCTATTTCTGTCAACAAATTTTACAAGTAAAGGTTGCATCTTCATCTTCGTCATCGACACCAGCACAACTGCACAAAGCCCATTGGCCGCAGACAGAACAAGCAGCCCAGCCTTCACTTGAGTCTAAATAATAACCATTACAATAGAGACAAGGTGTATTTTCCACTTTACCATCGCTAATTGATGATTTAACCTGACAAGCTTTTTTCTTTTTGGTCACTCTTATTTTATTCAGTCTTGATTTAAGTAGTTTTCTTAACTTCCCTTATTTCTCTTTTCTTTTGCTTTATTTGTGTATCCCGTCTTGCCCCACTCTTCCCTACCCTATCTTGCCCGCACACCGAAAAAAATCTCGATGGTATTATTACCCTGTAAAAAAAAGTATTGGGAGGTACGGGATTCCGTATTGCAAGTGCCAACCTGCCAATGCGGTATTCGCGAATTACCGCATTGGGTGTCGTGGTGAATACGGAAATCAAGGGGTCCCAATGCGGTGCCAGTTTTAAGCTTTAAAAAAACGAAAATACGTGACAGGAGGAAATAATTAGTGTCAGTGGAGAAATATGCGAGTTAAAGGAATGAGAAAATAATAATAGTGAGTGTAAAAATGAAATTTTAAGAAAAAAAGGTAAGTTGAACTGTCAAATATGGGCCCAATGCGGCATAGGCTGATTTCAATGCGCCACAGCAAAAGCAACTTTGACTGGTTTGAATGGCGTGAAATAGGTAAACAAACATTTTCTAACACATTTGTCTCCGTACACAGACACTTTTCACTAAATCTGCCAACGTACAATTGGTAAGCATCTTCTAAATTACAATAATCGAAAATATTGTTTAGATTCATGCAGAAACGTGGTTATAAAATAAAAAATTGGAAAGTAATGTAATGCAAATCATATGTCAGCTGGGCCACTGTGTTCGCTCGATTTGCTCTGCTTGCTTCTGCCCTCTACTGGCGACTTGCACTATGTACCGATTGTGTACCGCATTGAAAGCAGCCTACGCCGCATTGGACTCATATTTGACAGTTCAACTTACCTTTTTTTCTTAAAGTTTCATTTTTACACTCACTATTATTATTTTCTCATTCCTTTAACTCGCATATTTCTGCACTGACACTAATTATTTCCTCCTGTCACGTATTTTCGTTTTTTTTAAAGCTTAAAACTGGCACCGCATTGGGACCCCTTGATTTCCGTATTCACCACGACACCCAATGCGGTATTTCGCGAATACCGCATTGGCAGGTTGGCACTTGCAATACGGAATCCCGTACCTCCCAATACTTTTTTTTTACAGGGTAACTATGACACTATAGTTAATCTTAATCTAGTAAAAGTAATAAGGATTCCTAATCATTATGGTTAGGATCGCTAGGTTGATTCAACAAATTCAAGCCTGGCAAAAACAACCCTGCAAATCCTAGTCAAATTGACTAGGATTTTAGTAATTTTGCCTATTTCCATAATGCGCACGCGTCTGCTTCTGTTCTGACAGTGTTTACCTCTATATCTTTCGCGTCATTTATCGTGATTTCGTAAAACGATTTTTTATCATTACTCGCGTCTATTTTTTGTACATAAAATGGAGTTCTTACATACATCAAAATTGCTGGTTTCTCGGAACCTCTGGAAATATATAGATAGTCCATGTTTTAGAAAGTAAACTATTTTTGGGGTAATTTTACCAAAAATGTTTTGGAAGTAATTTACACCAAGAATTTGTGGGTAAAAATACACAAGATTTTTGGAAGTTTTACCCAAAATTTCTTGAAAAAATTCCTATTAAGTTTTAGGTAAAAAATGCACAAGAGTTTTAGTGATTTTACCCAAACATTTTGGAAGAAATACCTAAAAGGTTTTGGGTAAAAATACAAACATTTTGGTATCTTTTATAAAAGTTTTGGAAAAAATACCCAAAAATTTTTAGGTAAAATTACACAAGTTTTTGTACTTTTGTCCAAAGTTATGTGTAGAAATACTCATGAAATTTTTGGAGAAATTCAAGACTTGTGATAATTTTTTATCTAAACATTTTGAGAAAATACATAAGTGATGAAATGGAATAGTTAATTTTTCATCCGCAATTTAAAAAAATTAGCTAATATAATTTTAAACAATAATTGCAGATTATAGTGATTCTTTTTATTTCATATAAAATATGTTTTAATACAAAACTATTTTACAAAATATTTTTTCACATACAATAATAAACACTTATTGGGGATTTAAAATTGCAATGCGATACTAGTGGCGATAATGTGAACTAAAGAAAATGGCCGCCGTGGGTGTACGGTGATTACACACGGTTTTTGACATTTATTTGTAAACTCTGTTTTAAATTTGTTTAAAATCATGGAATTCGATGCACAACACCGAAAAAGCAATAAAAGTCGAGGAAATTGTTGTGTAGAAGGATGTTTTTCTAAAATGCATGAAAATAAGAGCTTGAGTTTCCATAAAGTACCTGCTCTCAGAAAGTGCAAAGTGTCAAGGATTAATATTTTTGGAAAAGAAGAATTAGTTGATAAACGGACGATGTGGTTAAAACTTCTAAATGTTAAAGATAATAAAAAATATCTTCTTGTTTGTTCGAAGCATTTCACCAAGGAGGATTATTTGTATCCAGGTAAAGGTTATGTTGACATATATTTTTTCAGTTGTAAGTTTTTAAGTTTCATTATTATTTTTTGTCTACATTACAATAACTTTTTTTTTAGAAGTACACGCAGAAAACCGCGTATTAAAAAAAAATGCTGTACCGCAAAAAGTAAAAAAATGTGATTGCAAGAAATTATTAAATGATGACAATAGGCAACAGAGAATGGTATATTTAAATACAAATATTTATATTATACGTCAATTATAACAAATATTAACTTACGTGTTTATACTTGGAACTAATTTTAACGTAATATATTTTGCAACAGATGAGGAGAAGATTATTAAAAACGGATTTAAATAGTACGGAGGAAAGCGAAAGGACAGAAGTGCAAGAGCCCTTGGAAGAATATGTGCCACCTACGTGCAGTTTTGAAGAAGTGGATCAACATGACTCTGATTGCGAAATGCATGAAAAACAATTAAACAATCTGGAAATATCGACAAGTATTGATGAATTACAGGGAAATATCGATTATTCCAATGTCGAATTACAAAACAATAAAGAAAATAGAACTAATGATATTGGAGTCCAAGTATCAAGTGGGGACTTTACTTACACTCTAAAATCTTTTATTAAAACTGAAAAAGATTTAATGACAATGTGTAATATAAAAAGTTTTAACATCTTAAACAAGTTAGCAGAACTGATTGATAATCATTATCCTACTAAAAAGAGATTATTAAACACTACAGAAAGCATAGTATTGACGACAGCAAAATTAAAGCTAGATATATCATTTCAAGCACTTGGAGTATTTTTTTATCACATTAGTGACGTGACGATTAGAAATATATTTTACGAATATGTTAAAAAATTGTCAAGTATTTTACAATCTGTACTTGTTCGTGTACCTAAGGAAGAAATTTTACAAAATATGCCAAAATGTTTCGAAGACTTTTCTTCCACTACATCAGTTCTCGATTGCACGGAAATAAAAATACAGAAACCTAAATGTCTAAAATGCAGAATAAAATTTTACTCGCACTATAAAGGCGATTTGACTGTCAAATTCATGACTGAAGTTAGTCCAGCAGGGATTATTACAACTGTCAGTGAATCCTTTGGGGGAAGAGCGTCGGATAAATGCATTTTCAATCATACAGGAGTTCTTAACCATTTGGAGAGCACGAGAGATTCAGTAATGGTTGATAAAGGTTTTCTTATCGAAGGTGAATGTGAAAAAAGGAGAATTAATCTAATAAGGCCACCATTTTTGAGAAATAAAAAGCAGTTACCTGAAAGAGAAGCAAATATAAACCGAAAAATTGCCAGCGCCAGAGTACACATCGAGAGAATGAATCAGCGCATAAAACAATTTAATATTTTAAATAACAAACTACCATGGCATCTAATAAATTATGTAGACGATATATTTTGTATTTGTTGTGGATTAGCTAATCTGGGAACACCCATACTTGCTGATGATAAATTTTAATCTATGTATTTTTATATTACTTTTTTAATTAAACAAAATGTGACAAAAAATAAAGATATTAAATTATGCGTAATGAATTTATTAAAATTCAAATACAAATGTACCTTTACAATTACACCTTTCTTTAGAACAATATTTAACTTTAAATATTTAAATATAAATTTATTTGCGACATTTTTTAACAACTTGTGACTTTTAAAAAAATATTTTTAACAATGTCGATAAATATATACGTCTATTAAAACACATTTAAAATACTCGTTTCTAATCCTTCTTTGGTTCAATAATTATAATTAAATGGCATAGTAATACTGCACGCATGAAAGGAAAAAGTATTTCCATGAAAATCACAATACTCTTGAATTTAAGCATATATAATGCAACATGTTTTCAAAATAGTTCTTTTTCAAAGTATTTAATAACTTAGTTGTAAATTCTTTATCGTAGTCAACAGTTATAATTTCAATTGTTTTAGATTTACTCGAATAAATAACAAAATCACATTGCTTTAAGTTTAATAAGGTCATACCTAATTGCACTTGACCATAATATTGGTGCTTTTCTTTCAAAGTGACTTCGTTCTTTTTCAGATATTTACATTTTTTCAGTAAAGTTTTTCGTTCTGTGTTTTCTAACTCGAACGGGCATTTAATTTCTAAAAGCCGATATAATTTAGAATCATTGAAAACAACACCGTCTGGCGAATACGCTAGCCAGGGCTCGCTCTGACAAATAATCAGTCCACATTCTTCAACGTGTAAATTACATTGTTTTTTGTAAGCTTCTCGAGCTTCTGCTTCGAATTTAATTCCGTGGTTTGTCTCTTTAGTTTTGAATTCTGTAGGCCAAAAGTATTTTACAGACTTATTTTCCCAATCATTTTTCGAATACGTGTAAATATTATAACATCTACTACCAGTAATTCTATATTTTCTTTCAATTTTCCATTCAATTATTGATCTCTTTGTATTTATTTCCTTTTGAAATACGTCATTGCACACAATTTTCGAATTGTAAACATTTTGACAACAATTCTTCATCTTGAAAACAACATTTGATAACGACGATATATCTTCTGAGAGTAACGAATTATCAATAATTAAATTAATATATTGATTTTCGGAAGGTGGGCTTGAAGATTCATACGTATTTTCAATACTTCGCAACGGAATTTGACAGTTTTCAATGTTTTGCAGAGGAATTCGACGATCTTCTCTCTCATTTCTTTTTCTAAAACTGTACATAAATTTTATTAATGGCAATAAATGTTCATTTAACTTTTCAGTGACAAAAGAAAGGAAAGATTTGAAATAAATAGTATAAATATAATATTTATAAAAAAATATGAAAAAACCAAATTAAACATAACCTACAAATGCTTAGCTACAGCGGTTTCTCGATCACAGTGAATTAATTCTTTTCGAATTTCATTCAAATCATTATCAGAAAGTCTGGGCAATCTGTCTTGGTTGACGTGACAAAACATTTTTGTTGGTTGAGCTTCAAATTGCTCCAGCACTGGTACTTTATGTTTTTTCCAAAGACATTTCCTTTCGGTGGAAGATATTTTTTCCAGTTTCAGAATGTCTAACCTGTTAATGAGTTTATTAATATATATATAAATATTTTTGTAATGTTAATGTTTTAAAAAATAATTATTTTTCCAATATACACTTACCTACTGCAAAATATCAAAACTGCGACAATATGTTTACACTTCTGACTCGCGCCAGCTTTGCAGGAACAATGCATTTTTTCAATTGTCACCTTATCAAGATTATTTTCTACTTGTAATAATAAGACGCCTGTAATTTCATGAGGTTCACTTGTTAACGCACTCGTTTGTAAACATAAAGAAAATAATTCTAAACGATCTTTCTCCACTTTTGTAGCACCACACATTATAATCATACCAGAATTTAAACAAATCTGACCTTCTACAAGATTTCTCGAACAATTATTCGAATCAGTGAATTTATAAATTGTATCTAGTGTTAGTGTCAACATTTTTTTAAAACAACTTAAATAATTATTTAATAATAAATACAAAACGTCACTTCATAAGTGAACGTTGATTCAAATATGTACACCCATGTCGGCCATGTTTGTTATGAAACGCTAGCGCCACTTTGCCCGCGGTGGTAATTTTCATTGCCAATGAAAAACAATAATAAAATAGTATGAATATTATATTAGATTAATCATTATCAACACTTATTATTAATCTACTTATAACAAGAAATTAACAATCGTCGAAATAACAGATAATACAAACAACCCACATAGCACAATAGTATGAGGTAAGGTTATGTTGAGTACTAATCGTAAGGCTCATAAGGTTACACGATATTGCTGTGGTAGACCTGAGGTGAACTAAAAACTTCCGCCATGGAGGTAAGGTTACATGTTAGGGTGTGGTGACTATATATGATAAGGCCATGGTAACCTTACACGTTAAGGTTGAGGTAACGTTACATGTTAAGGTTGATGTAAGGTTACATGTTAAGGTTGAGGTAACGTTACATGTTAAGGTTGAGGTAAGGTTACATGTCAAGGCTGAGGTAAGGTAATTATTAAGTTGTAAGGTTGAGGTAAGGTTGTGATAAGTTTACCAGTTATAGAAAATATTGAAAAAATAATTAATAAATAAATATTCAATTAAAATGTTAAGTGTGTTGCTCTTCTCTATTTTGGAAACCTGACATGAAGCAGAAAATTTTGAAAACAAATTTGGGGGGACTGGGATTCGAACCCGGGATCGGCGCGCATAAACCTATCATTCTAACTAACTGAGCTAAGTAGAGAACTGGCAGAAGGAAAATTAATGTTGCCTTTAAGGTGAACCAAGAAGATGATTAACTCCTTAAAGGCAACATTAATTTTCCTTCTGCCAGTTCTCTACTTAGCTCAGTTAGTTAGAATGATAGGTTTATGCGCGTCGATCCCGGGTTCGAATCCCAGTCCTCCCAAATTTGTTTTCAAAATTTTCTGCTTCATGTCAGGTTTCCAAAATAGAGAAGAGCAACAAACTTAACATTTTAATTGAATATTTATTTATTAATTATTTTTTCAATATTTTCCATAACTGGTAAACTTATCACAACCTTACCTTAACCTTACCTCAACCTTACAACTTAATAATTACCTTACCTCAGCCTTGACATGTAACCTTACCTCAACCTTAACATGTAACGTTACCTCAACCTTAACATGTAACCTTACCTCAACCTTAACATGTAACGTTACCTCAACCTTAACGTGTAAGGTTACCATGGCCTTATCATATATAGTCACCACACCCTAACATGTAACCTCACCTCCATGGCGGAAGTTTTTAGTTCACCTTAGGTCTACCACAGCAATATCGTGTAACCTTATGTGCCTTACGATTAGTATTCAACATAACCTTACCTCATACTATTGTGCTATGTGGGAAGCAGATTAATTAATTAAAAAATCTGTCCGCGTAAGCGCGGACACATTCTCATCCGCGCTTCGCGCGGGGGCTCGCTTCGCTCGTAAGTTTCAGCGCGCCTCAGGGCGCACGAATATTGATCGTCGCGCTTCGCGCTCCGGCGATTATTTCACACGTCGCGCTTCGCGCTCCGTGTGTTGTTGCGCGCTTCGCGCGCAAATGGCTCGCTTCGCTCGCGGTGGTCTGCGATTGTTGTGCATTATTTGTGTTCTTGTTCTTGTTTCCTATTATATGTTTCATAAAACATTTTTTTTTCTTAAAGTTACTACGACTTTAAGGATTACATTCTCATCACATGTTTTTGTTTGCTGATGATTGCAAGATAAAGTGGATTTATATGTATATTTTTGGTCTTGATGATTTAAATTGTGAATTTATTTTTAATTATACTAACTCTCTTACACGGAAAGAAAAGGTCTGGAAGAGATATCCATAAAAATATTGTTGAGCAGAATATTGTTGTGTTATCCAATTCAATGGAAGAGACAACTTTCAGAATGGAAGCACATTCCATATTCAATGGATGAGGGAGCCATATTATATTGTTGAATCAAATATGGATGTGACATCCATAGGCATGGTTGGGCTTACAATTCATGCTATGGATTTTCACATATGGCTGCCTCATCCATATAAACTTTGGTTGGGAGATCCATAGTTAGTTCAAAATTTCGATACATGTTGCGCGAAATTAATTATCATGGCATCCATTTAAAAATGGTCGTCTCAATTTGTCCGTCGCGTTGGTTTCCTGTCACGTCTATATAATCGCGTTGTGAGTTTATTGTGTATAAATACTCTCTAAATCTGAATATGTGAAAATTCACATATTTGTACGTTATAAGTCGTCTTCTCGATCAAGAAGTGCATATGCACTTATAATAAGTGAAATTTCACTCAGAATAAGTGAAAAATTCACTTATTTATAAGTGTATATGCACTTATTGATCGAGAGGACGACTTATAACGTACAATAAGTGAAATTTCACATATTCAGATTTAGAGAGTAGTGTTACAATTGTTTATTATTTATTATCGTTATTGTCTATTAGTGTTTATGTAAATTCATTTTCATGAAATATGTGTAGAGTATATAAAGAATATTATATGCACAAATATTGTAGTTGCGTGTATAGTGTAGTGGATAGCGTTAGTGTTTAGTATGCGTTAGGTCTAGGGTTCGTGTCTCCCCCATCGGTTAATAATTTATTTCGTTAATATGCGGTTATTCAATAAGTGGTGTGTATTAATTAACAAAAATGTGTATAAAATATCTCAAGTGACATTGAATTTAATTAATTGAGTGATTCCAATTTTTTTGTTTCCCATTTCCATTACTATGGATCACCCAATCATAGATCTTTTGCTGCTCCAACAATATACAGCCAGCCATAGAATATGGATGCAGCAACCTTAACTATGGATATCCCGTATTTTTCAATATAATATGGCTGTGATATCCATGTATCTGGATGTGTCAACTATTCCTTTTTCTCCGTGTAGCACAAACATGATTTGCAGAAGCAGATACAATATTCTTAAAGTATTAGTATCAAGGTTTTTGTGTAGTGTAGACCGGAGCGTAATGGCTAACTTTTCACTGTTTGTTGATTTACTCATACATTTTTGTTTTAATTAAGTGTTTATCTCCTAGAAAAGTTACTCCGGTATCTCAGCTTTCTTTTAAAAAAACGAAAGTCCCTATATTACTCTTACTTTTTTTTCTACAATGAACGTACACTTCGTCGGTATCGTAGGTTGCTCTTTATGCATAGCGTGTTGCATTAGCCAGCACGCCCTAGTGGTACTTAGGAAATATTTTGTAATTTTTATCAATACAGTAAGTGTGAATCAAAAATCTCAAATTGACCCTTAAAAATGTTTCAAGCTTAAAACGCGATTTTAGTTTCTTTTTTAAAGTTATTTTAAAAAATTATAACGAAAAAATGCAATTTTGAAAAGTTACTTTCATATGTGATATACAGTTTTTCTACTATATTTCTTACAATAGTGATTGAATAATAAATAATCAAACTTTGTAGAAACTTGCAGTACATCAAGTTGTCTTTGGAGCGAAATCATTTCGATTTACGATTTTTAAATAAATTACAATTATTCATTACGCCCCTTAGTCATTATGTCCCGTTCCCCCTATATACGTGATTTGTAAATATATATCAAATGTATGATTAAAAACATGTAAATCCGGATACAGTGAATGTGATAGTTTAATTGTTATAAGAAAAACTTTAAATTTACTAAAGATTTAAAAATGAACAATTAGATAAATTTTCTGCATGATTATTTTAAAAGAACGTCCAAGCGCCTAAACTTTCGGTAGGACCTTCCGGCCGGACGCGCCTCTTACATAATTTATTAAATATATTAACATATATTGTTATTATATGTTATTTTGAGCTTAAACAAGAAATTCACTTAGAGATTTTGAAAAAATCGCCATTTTTAATGCTATACAGATATTTGAATAACTTATAAAATAGTAAATGTTTTCTAAAGCTTCATTTCTTATTCTAAAGATCATTTTCAACAGTATGAGAATTACTTCAGGTATTAACGTGTATTCTTTGCTTAGAAATTGTAAGCAAAGCAAAGGTAGGATACCCAAATTAGAACAAAATAATAATAAATAGCACAGCATTTCAAAAAAAAGTTTGAACTAAGAAAATAAAAACAATCCTCCAAAATTTACCCATCGTTTTAACAAGCAAAAATAAATCACCTCCACTAAGATGAGACAAAAAGTCAAAAATTCGAAAAAAGTTTTTAAAAAAATTAATTTTTTCTAAAGTATTATTGTCGGACAGACAGACAGACCTACAGACAGACACTTTTTTTAAGACCATGATTTTCGGACTCAGGGGACCCCAAAACGTCGAGATTTCATGAAATTAGCGAAAGTCAATTTTCGACCAAAACTAATACTTTCTCATGTGATGAGAATGTAATAAAAAATTAGTTTTTTGAAAATAAGTCGAAAAGTTTTAGGTTTAGTGAAAAGTTGTCAACAGCAAAGTTGTAGCTGATGGTAAGACGAGAAAAAAAGTCTCTGGTAGCAAACTCCCATAGGCAATAGTTTTGGAGATAATTGAGTCGGAATATGGAATTTTTGTTTAAAAAATGATAAAAAATATATATATACGGTTTTTTTTTTGGAAATTACTAGTTTTTTGTTAATGTGAGTGTTTTTTGAGTACAATGGGGTGAGAATATGTGGAAATTAATGTAATAATTTTTTTGCTTTGAGAAATTTTGATTTTTAGCGTTATTTTCGGATTTTTGAGTATTTTTTTACTATTTAAGGGCCTATAACTCCGAAATTTGACTTTCTATGAAAAAATGTTGTAGAGAAAAGTTGTTCGTATTTTTCCAATCTAAAGTAATATAAAGTTAAAAATATTGAAATTTGAAAAAATTGAGTTTTCAGAATTTTGAAAGTACTGTAGTTTGTGTAGTTTTCGACGAAACTGGCTGGCTAACGAACACGATCTGTATTTTAACAGTAACTTTGTATTTGCAAAGTTGCAAGTTGATACAATAAGTTTTTCAAAAGTTATCGTGGCGACACCATTGTGTCTACAGACAGACACGAAGACAGACATACAGACAGACACTTTTTTTAGACCATGATTTTCGGACTCAGGGGACCCCAAAAAGTCGAGATTTCATGAAATTAGCGAAAGTCAATTTTCGACCAAAACTAATACTTTCTCATGTGATGAGAATGTAAAAATTCACTATTATTCACTATTTATAAAATA